AGTAGATATTCCGATAGGATTCGATGACTTGTGAGGCGTATCCAATTCCTAAGAGGGAAAGTGACAGGGGTTAGGAAATGGACCCCTAGGCAAGCCCCAAATATATCAGACTTTCGCTTCAAATAGTGCCATAGGCCACATCGCACTGGAGCTGCGGGCAGGGCAGATTAATGAGCAATTTGGTTCACCAAAGAAACCTGTAAAACTCAGGTTGAGGGTGGGAGAGCCAGATGTGGTTCATCATGGTGGAGAAATCAGAAATAAAAAGGGTTTTCACTGCTAACTACATCCCACGCCCAAAGAATGGGGCCAGAGCAAAAGCATAGGGTCAGGAAGGTGGTGGAATCTCCATCCTTATTGGTTTTTAAAGCTCAGCTTGACAAAGCCCTGGCTGGGATGATTTAGTTGTGGTTGGTCCTGGTTTGAGCAGGGGGTTGGACTAGATGACCTCCTGAGGTCTCTTCCAACCCTAATCTTCTATGATTCTAGGAGGTACCTTCTAATCCTGGCTCTGCCAATATCAGCAAATGCCAATCTGAGCAAAACACTTAATCGTTCTGTGTCTCAGTTTCCCCCTCTGTAAAATGGGGATCATAAAACTTCAGGATAGTTGTGAGGTTAATTCTCTGTGGTTTTAAAGTAGAGCTCTACAGAAAACAAGAATTCCATTTCACAAAAAAAGTCCAGGGTTTATCATTTGATTTTGGTTCTGCTTCAGAACAAGAACTAGATCTTTTGAAATTTTTCACACAAAAACCCATGAGACCCAGAAATTCCATCGTAGACCCGAGAAACCCATTCATTGACTCACCTTCAAAGAGAGGGCAGATCTTCCTCCAGGCAGTGACCACTCCCTGGCTGGTGTACTGTCCTAGTGCTGTCTCCAGGAAGAACATTGGGATCCCACAGGTGAAGACAAAGATGAGGTAGGGGATAAAGAAGGCACCTGCAGAGAGAGAGAGAGAGAGAGAGAGTAGCAAATGGAGGAATCTTTACTACTCAACATTATCATAATCACCCATTACCAGCTACACTAACAAGCGAGATGTACCATCAAGGCTCAGGTAAACACCCTTGAATGTAAATGTCTATCTGAACTAAATGGACCCGGTGTCCTGCAAAACTGTGCAGATCTTGCCAGGGCCGCCCAGAGGATTCGGGGGCCTGGGGCAAAGCAATTTCGGGGGCCCCTTCCATAAAAAAAAGTTGCACTACTATAGAATACTATATTCTTGTGGGGGTCCCTGCGGGGCCCAGGGCCTGGGGCAAATTGCCCCTCTGGGCGGCCCTGGATCTTGCAAAAGAACAGCCTCTTGGCTTTCTTCTTCTTGTCCTGGAAATACCACAAGCACCCCTGTCCTCATGCTATTTCAGCACTGCCGTGTCTGGTCCTGGCCAGAACCTGGAAGAGCAGAATGGCAAGAAGACAAAAAAAGACACAGAAAATAAACGTTGACTATACTTTTCAGCCCTTAAAACCAGTTTGAGCAAAGGTTTGGGAAGGTAAGAGGAAATCTTATTGTGTCCAAACTGGGTCCTCCTGGGCCAACATTTCACACAGACTGAGCTTTTATGGACTTACCACCTCCATTTTTGTAACAGAGATAAGGGAATCTCCAGACATTGCCCAGGCCGATGATCTTCCCAGCCATGGAGAGCATAAACTCCATTTTATTATTCCACTGGTCTCTTGGCTCCATTTTTGGCTTCTCCTTTTCGAGCAGCACCATGCCCCCATGGGGCTCAGCCTCCACAGCTGCTTTACTCTCCATGGCCCAACGGAGCAGGGGAAACTGGGAGGGAAAATAGAACACAGAAAGTAAGAAGATGTTACAGGACACACAGGTAAAATGAGCCTG